AGCAACGAAGACCCAATGCACTCAAAAATAAATAAATAAATAATTTAAAAATACCTATATATATATATAAATATAAAAAAAAACTATAAAGGTGTTCATTACATGTGTGTATCTTTTCAGATCCCATTACAACAAACTTCAGGGGTTATCCAAGATATTTTGGCTATACAGGAATAAAGGGACCTTAGACACTGCATGAAATAAAGCTGATAGCGAAGGTGGAAAAAGGTGGAAGACTCCCTTTTGTTGTAAGATGACTTACACGCTTGTATACCATACTGTCCAGTGTTCCCAATAATCTGAGTGCATCTAGGAAGCTAAAATTGCGTGGAGCTAACCCAGACGCACACATTTGGTCTTAAACTGGGCGCCAATTACTGGGCGCTAATACTGACTTGATTCCAATTTCATTCCTGTTGTACAGGTGCACGGATAGGACTCTGCAATCCAGAGGCATGCAGTTATAACTAAGCAAACACATCTGTGATCCTAAAATAACAACAACAACAAAAGGAGGCAATCTAAGAACAGCTTGTTTTCTTGAAAGAAAAATTGTGGCATCTCAAGTGCAGTGTCACCTTTGGAGGTGACAGAAAAATCCCTAAATTAGACCTGCTTGGAGCTAGCGAGGCCAGACATTAACAACATGGTTTTCAGGGCGTCGTAGACACGGGGCTGGGAGGGGAGCAAATACACACCTGTGAGACCGGAAGGAGACCCAGCCCCATCTCGCCTCCGCGGGCGTCCCCCCACGCCCCATTTTTTTGAACCCTCTCCTCCCATGTCCTGGCCTGATGGTTGGCGATGCAGCGCCCCCTTGCGGTTGCTCCCGGGAAATTACACTCGTCAAATCCACCCACGATGGATGGATCTGAACATGTAAACTGATCAAGGGGAAGGAAGCTGTAATGTTGGGATTGGTTGTTAGCAAGCCAACTTCGGACCAGATGGATCGTGTTGTTAATAGGTAAACTGAGGCGCACTAAAATTTTTGAAGAGTTTAGGCATACGTGGAGTCGAATCCGGCAACGCCAAACCAAAGGTAGTTAGCCGTCCACCGACAGGCATAGGGCAAGGTGTTTATAGAGAAGATGCTGAAGCAAAGCAGCTATTAGGTATAGCTTAAGCGGTTGTGTCAGGTGGGAAGACCTACCTGGCTGTTTGTGATTGGTCTTAAGTTTCACTTTCTCAAGTTCTAAGGCTTCTTGGTTTTGGTTAGTTTACGAAGGCTACTAAGGAATTAGAGCCAACTCAGTGTAATAGCGTCCTTGTTTAATTCTCTAACAGCGTGTAATGTAGGTCACAGCCTAGAGGGAGGAGTCTCAGGGTGACATTGGCAGCGTCCATCCAGTCACTCCCCAGAGCACCCGGAGAGAAGAAAGCCAGTCCCAGCTGAGGACACTCACCTGTTAGGGTTTCCTTGGCAAGACTGTCCCTGGATTAAACAAATGACCTAAGAAACTTTAGTTGAAAGACTCTTTTCCTACTGGTCACGTGAGTTCCCAGGTAGCTGGTCTACGAGGAGAGTGTGCTGGCCCAGCCGACGAGAACTTTCCAGGTCACCTTACAGTTAAAGTTTTCATAAGCAGTTGACCAGGCAGCTGCTGCAGCATTTAGCTTCTGGGGCCAGACTGCTTAGCTTCAAGTTCTGGTCCTCTCTCTTACTAGTTGTATGACCTTGGGCAAGTTTCTTAACTTTCCTGCATCAGTTTCCTCGTCTGTAAAGTGGCTTTAAGAATAGTACTTAGGGCTTCCCTGGTGGCGCAGTGGTTGAGAGTCCGCCTGCCGATGCAGGGGACACGGGTTCGTGCCCCGGTCCGGGAAGATCCCACATGCCGCGGAGCAGCTGGGCCCGTGAGCCATGGCCGCTGAGCCTGCGCGTCCGGAGCCCGTGCTCCACAACGGGAGAGGCCACAACAGTGAGAGGCCCGCGTACCGCAAAAAAAAAAAAAAAGAATAGTACTTAGAAGAATTAAATGAGGTCATACATAGGATGGTGCATTTAGCACAGGGCCTGGCACATAATAAGCACTCAGTAAATGTTAGCTATTGTTCTTATTAATGGTTTTATACAGCTGTCTCTTGAACTTGTTTAATATGGATCTGCCACAGGAGATGAGCCATTCTTGGCATGCCAGAAAATCGTGTTTCTGGGTTCATGTGGCTGGGACCAGCCTCTGGATAAAGGAGGCAGGTTGACCAAGGTAACTGCCCCTGTGTGGAAGTGGATGGGGTATTCAGACACCCCTGTCTCCCTGCCCTTGTTCATGGCCCTGCAGTGGTGTGCAGCTATTCTCCTGTGACGTTTTAGCACATACTGATTATTCTAGTGACTTTATAATTTTTTAGCTCTTCTCAGTTAGATCTTTAGAGGACAAAAATCCTGCCTTATTTTTTCCCCTCTGCCCTCTCAATTAGCTAAAAGATGGACACTCAGTAAATACTTCCCAGATGAGATGATAAAGTTTATAGAGAATTCAGAACAAATGGAAGCATGTCCCAAAAAATGACATTGATGGGGAAAATGAAAACTGGAGAGGGGATGTTAAGACATTCTTAAATGAACCATCTGGAAGAGCCCACTGAAGTCAGAGCTAAGAGGACAGGTGGCTGTTAGGGGAAGAAAGTCCCAAGACTGCCGCCCTCTTGTGTGTGTGGGCCTGGGCAGCAGTGTAGACCAGTTCGCAGTGGTTGCCAGAGAAGCCACTGGATGACTTCCGTGGTCACCCTAACAAGGTGGCCACGGAGAAGGCCCCATGCCTCTCTGGGCCCTGGGAGAAGCCTGGAATGGGGAGTAGGGGATCGTGACTAAGGCAGTCAGGGGAGAGCACTTGGCTTTGGATCAGAAGGTGGAAGTCAGCGTGCTGTGTGCCGAGCGCCGTCTCTCAGCTCCCTGCCCACGCGCTCACCCTGTGATTCTGCTTCTCTTGTGTGTCCATCACATCTTTGTGGGCTTCGGAGTCAGCTTCCCTGCTCATGTGCTCTAGTCCCTTGTGATGGCTTCACAGGCCCCCTGCAGGCCTATATTTGTGGCCTCACCTGGGAGATTCCTGTATGTGTGTCCTGTAAATCACTGCAAACTCCATTCTCATTCAACCCAATATCCATTTATTTAGGATCTAAAATATGGCCGTGGTGCTATTGGAGCTCAAATTATAGACTGTTTAGAGTAAACAGGATCTTGGAGATTTCTAACTCACCCAGTCTGACAAATGAAGAAACTAAAGCTCAGAGAGTTTGAGTTACTTACCCAAGGTCACACAGGCATCTTGGGGGCAGAGATGAATGGGGAAGCCTGATGCTCCATTCCACACTTCCAACAAATGTAGACTTTGTCAGGACTTAGGTTGACTCATCGGCTCAACTTTTAGTTGTTTCATTCAAAGGAAAAATTCATTACATATCTCTACTGGAATTCTTTGTAGGATTCCAGGCACTGCTAAAATAGGTAGGTCTGGGCTGGAAATCAGAAGAAGAATTTCTGTAAAATTTTGGAAGATGGGCCAGTTTTTAAAACCTGATGGAAGGTGTATGGCTTGTACATACTGGGGCTTTCAAACATTTTTCATTCACTTGTGGAGTGTTTTTTCATTCTGGAGAAGATTTAGACATTGAATGTACAAAAAGGATTAACTTTGCCTGCTATATACTTCCCCTGGCCTGTAGCCTCTAATAAGCACAAGCTAATGGGGCAGGATGTTAATTCACAGACCACTCATTTGCCAGACACGTGACACAGACCACGGGCAAAATGAGCTTCCTCTTGGCGAATCCTTCTCGGCACCTGGCCTTCTCCCAGCGACTCCTCCCCTGGAACTCCTGGAGTTGAGCTGGGGGATAGTTTGATCCACAGTTGCCAGGTGTCAGGAGGCTTCAGATAAGCCTGGAAGGAAAATGGAAAGGGTGTTCTGGTCAGGAGCAACTGTCACCTCAGGGGAGTGGCCATTCCAAGTTCAACATGTGCTTATATGTGCATTCTATACAATGTGCTTATGATCTGTGTTCTGTCGAGGAGGAATAAGTGGCTGTGTTGGTCACGAGAGTGGATTGCAATAAAACAATGACAATAATAACTACAGTCACACTGGCTTGGCTTGAGCCAGCACTCGGCTTTATCCTGCTGGAAATGGTTTTGCAGAGTAATGGTGGGGCTCCTGGCCTGGAGCGTCCACTTACCCCTCAGTTGAGAGGAGGACGAGGCTGTCTGGACCTTTCTGCTGGCCCCTCATTCCTCTCTCGCTGTTGCTCTACTCTACCACCAGGCGACATCTCTTTGTGTTACCTAGCCTACGCTTGTACTGCTCGATGCACAGCAGGCCAATAGATAGAGAGATGAGGTGTTGGGACATGGAAGGTGACTTTATTCAGAAAGCCAGCAGACCAAGAAGATGGTGGACTACTGTCCCAAAGAACCATCTTCCCTGGAGTGAGAATTCAGGCTTCTTTTATACTAAAGGGGCAGGGGGTGTGGCTGGTTGTTGCAGACTTCTTCATGTAGGAATCTTTTGTTTTTGCACCTGTCCCCATAGGGCAGGTCACGGTGTTCCTTTAAACCTCCAACAAGACAACTGTTGTCCTCTGTTCTGCAAGTTTTTATCTCTATATGAATGGAAAGGTGTTTTACCTTTAAAGGTCAGAGCTTTGAGAATAGGCTCTCCTCTATATTTCAGGCTACAGGCAACATTCTTTACAGAAGGTGCAGAGCCAGCATGACTAAGCACAGGAAACAGAGCACAAGGGTTAGAGCTAAAGGAACAGATCCCATATGGAGTCATGTTTGTTCTTCTCTATCACATTTCCTTGGAAGCATGTTTCAAAACCTGTCTCCTCTGGGTTTGCACAAGTCCACTCTCCAGACCACGGAATGGCCTTGTCGTTGGTGGTGCACACGACACAGCCTGTCCTTGCGCTTGTCCACTCTCCAGATGGACACCTCTGCCTCAGACCCACCGTGAACCAGCCTCTAACCCTGCACCTGTGCTGTGTCCCCCTGCCCCCAGGTCTCCCAGGCAGCAGCGGACCTCCTGGCGTACTGTGAAGCTCACGTGCGGGAGGACCCTCTCCTCATTCCAGTGCCTGCGTCAGAAAACCCCTTCCGAGAGAAGAAGTTCTTTTGTACCATCCTCTGACTCCGTTTGCTATGAAAACGTCTCCTTTCCGGTCCGTAAAATCCCTTGTAGAGACCGCGCATGCTCATAGCTTTAGGGAGCTCTGCCCACACCCACCCCCGCCCAACCAGGATTGCCCAGGCCTGTCTCCTCTTTTCACTGGTTTTCTTCACTGCATTCTATTTCACTTTTTCTTTTCATTTTCATGTTATTTTCATTATTAGAAAATGAAATAGACATTTTTGTAGCCAAATAACAAATGTGCCAAGTAAAACTAAGTATGGGTTTAAGGGCTTAAATTTTTTTAACATCAATTCCCAAGGTTACATAGGTGAAGTGTATACATTTCAGTGGATAATTTATTGAGAAGTGGATAATTTATTGAGAAGAGAAAACAGTCCCCCATTCGTGATCATTCAGTGTCAAATCAGATCATTTTGACCAACTGAAGTATATGGGTAACGTTTCCATCTCTCTTCCTGGAGAGTGCAGTTCTGCAAGTTCTCTATTTCCTGCTTTTCTGTCATCCCATTTAAAGAAGAAATAACCTGCATCATCGGATGGTTTTCTAAACGTGGGTCATCCTGGGGCCTTGTGGCCCAGCCCCTGATGGAGGGTCCAGACCCCTGTTTCCCACTGATTGTCATTGATCCCTTTGGAGGTGGTCCTTCTACAAATGTAGGTGTTGGGTGGATATTGGAGTGAGCTTAACTGTAAATGTCACACCATTACATCTGTTTATGTGCGCCAGCCAGGCGGGCCAGGGGCACATGTCTTCTCTCCAAATGCCACCTTATCCTGCTCCCTCCTATTCTGCCTCCTGCTCTGCATGGGCTGCATTAATAAGGGCCTGTTCTGGGGACTTCCCTGGCAGTCCAGAGGTTAGGACCCTGTGTTTCCACTGCAGGGGGCCCGGGTTCAATCCCTGGTTGGGGAACTAAGATCCCACAAGTTGTGTGGCATGGCCAAAAAATAATAATAATAAAAATAAGGGCCTTTTCTGGGCACAGCACTGGGTCCTGTGGGGTTTCACCAGGGTGGCCCCTGCCCCAGAGGAGTGAGTGAGAGGCAGCAGCTCACCACGTAGCATCCACTGATCAGAGCATTCACACGTATCCACTTATTTAGTCCTCCAACAATAAATAAATGCCGTGAGAGTCTGTTCTAAAGAGGGGGAAACTGAGGCACAAAAAGACCATGTAGTTTCCCCGAGGTTGTAGATGGTGAGCCAGAAGACTGGGACCTGAGCCCCTGAGCTCCACTGCCTTCCAGGCCTACCTGTTTGCAGGCAGGTAGGTAGACCTGCAGACAACCCGAGCCACATGCCACAAAGCACCGTTGCTGGGGTCCACTCAGCAGCACACTTCTCTTCCCATCTTCGCCAGGAGCAGGCGTGTTGGGCCCGTATTCTGGCAGCTCATGGAAGATGAAACGTGGCTGCTGCCATGGAAGGCTAGGTGGCTCTCGATTTTTCTGAGACAAACTTGCAAGCCCCACCTGAAACAAACTCCTACCACCCTGGATGAAGGAAGGGAATAAACCACAGGGGCAGAGAGCATTCTGTCCAAGTATGTCCTGTTCCGTTTGTTTGGAAACTGTCTCCCTTCCTGGCCCTGGCAGTGGCTTCACTGTAGGGCAAGCCATTTTGTGCCTGGAACCTGCAAACTGGGGATAATGGTAGTTACTCCTCCTGCCTTTCTGTCTAGGACAGAGGGAGGTGCTACATAGATGAAAGCTCTGATTATCATTTAAAACAAATGTGCTAAATGCCAGGCTGTAGTATAGGGAAGAACGCATGACTTCAAAGATCCATGGTTCAGTTGGAGGAATCATGTAAAACCGCCTACAAAGAGGCAAATGTAATTTTCAGATCAATTAATGACTTGCTACCCTCATAAATGGTTTTAGTACATTTTTATTCTTTGCTTCTTTTGTTGAAACCCATTCTTTGTTTCATGAAAGCTCCCTGGTAATAACACTGTTGTTAGGAAGCTGTGTGCTTAAACTATAGCAGGATTGTATGCTGTCTGTGATAATAGGACTTCCAATTCTCCTCTGTTTTGGTTTATGACCAGGACCTGTTTATTCTGTGGTCCACAGTCTTCACCAAACTTTCTCCCCTTTGTTTTCATTTCCAGCATCCCTCCGTATTCTGCCTCCACTTTTTCCCTCTTTTTCCTTCTCCTCCTCTCTTCCTTGCATCCCTCCATGAGATGCCTTTTGTCCTTTTACTACACCTTTTCCTTCCAAACCTATGGCGTTTTGTGTGGCTTGCCCCTTTTAACGTATCCCTGAACTCATTGCTGCCCTTAAAGGCAAGTTCGTGAACATGCACTGTGAGACACGCAAACATGTGGATGAGCCCCTCGCCCCCAGCAATCGCCGGGAGCTGATGAAGCTGCCTGTAGCGGGCAGTCGTCATATGGTGTTTCTAGCTTGGCTGTCCAGCACCTGACCCCTTTCCTAAAGGGGGAAATCATGAAATCACCCCTATGTATAAATGTAGGGATTCAGTGCCCCCAGCACAGTGGACGCCAAAGTGGGGAGGTCTTCTCTGTCTCTCAGGTGCATCCCCTTTTCCAGCACCAGACCGGCCAGTGACCCAGGGTGAACTCCTTGGACTCCCATGCTTGGGATTGTGAGCTTGGTGCAGGTGACACAGAAATTAAGGGATGCTGAGATTCGTTTCATGGGAGCTGTGGTGGTCCAGGGGTGGCAGTGGTCCAGCAGGGGAAGTGTCTAGGATTGGCAGGCTGTAGGGGTGGCATGTCCACTGGTAGTAGTGTCCAGGGATGGCAGAGTGCTGAGCAGACCGTTTCTGCTTCGTTTCTTGGTCCCCACCCATCTTCCCAGGTCTCCTTTCTAGCTTTCTGTCAATTCTGTGAGCCGCCAAGCTCTGTCCAATAAATTCCTCATTCTTCTGTGAAATAGCTTGGGTTGAATGTACATATCATATGACCTAAAAACTCCACTCCTCTACCCAACAGAAATGTGTATGTATATTCACCAAAAGAAATGTACTAGAATGTTCACAGAAGCACTGTTCATAATAACCCCGAACTGGAAAGTACCCAGATGCCCATGTTGAATGGATAAATTATGGTATATTTGCACAGTGAAGTCCTACACAGCAAGGAGAAGGGGTGCTCCTGCAGCCACCCGCACGGCACCACGTAAGTCTCATGAGAGGAGCCAAGTTCGTACTGTATGGTTCCATTTATATCAAGTGTCAAAGCCGGCAAAGTTCACTTCTGCTGTTGCAAGTAGGGATATGAGTTACTCTTGGGGGGATGGTAACCAGACGGGCACAAGGGAGATTCTTGGACCTTCTGTCCCTTGATCGGGTTGCTGGTCACCTGGGCGTATCTAGTTTGTGAAAATTCTTCGAGCTGTACACTTGTGGTTTGTGCCCTTTTCTGTATGGATGTTGTACTTCAATAAAAAGTTGGTTTTGTGCCTAGCAATGGAGAATCCTATGGTTATTGTTTTTCCTTTTTTGGGGGGGCACTTTGCTCAACTTTTTACTCCTGTTTAGGTATAACATCATTAGAGGGGCATTTAAGTGTATTTAACAACATTCTGAAATACAAAATACTTGTAATCCACAGCTCTCTGGACAGAGAATAGCTCTCAGCACAACGCAGACGGTTGCCCGTGAATGGGGCATGTGAGTGCCGTGCGTGGGATCTGTATCTTTGGGGAGAACAGTGAGAAATCCTCCTGGGATTTCCCACTCGGCTCAGCCTCTGTCAGTGAGGCCGGTGACCTACCCTGAGCCTCTCCTGCCTTCCGACCACTGGAGTGAATGGCCGGCCACAAAAACAGACACCGCCTCTGGGGGAAGGAGCTGCTACAGGCACCAGCTGGCTTTGTGATGATGCATCTTCTGAATGCAACCCGGTCTCCCAAATACACTGAAGCAAACATGGCTCCCTCAACTCTGCCCCCACCTGCGGGGGCACTGGGCCCCCTTCCAAACTTCTGACTGAGTCCGAGGTCCCCCAGGGCTGTCTCCTTGGCTCTCAGCTCCCAGGTGGCCTCAGCATTCTCCTTCTTGCAGTTCTGAAACGTTGAATCCCAGGGTGATCACAGAGTGGCTTCATGCTGGGACTCCTGCTACATGAATCCACAGGTCTTACCTTTGATTCCGAGCGCCAGGCCCACAGAACTCAACAGTGAGTCTGAATTGTCAGCAGCCTCCCTCCAAGGGAGCTGTGGGAGGGGAGCAAAGCAAAGGTCAGAAGGAATTTTGTTCTGATGACTGTTCCAATTTGACATGAAACTAATGATAACAACTAGTGTTTGGGGAATTGCCTGGAGGTCCAGTGGTTAGGACTCAGCACCGTCACTGGTGTGGCCCTGCTTCAATCCCTGGTCAGGGAACTAAGATCCCACAAGACGAGCAGCAAGGCCAAAACAACCACAACAAAAAAAAAAGCACAGAACAATTAGTGTTTTGACCTGAGAAGAACATGGTTGCCATAGATTAGACAGAACTGACCTACACCTCCATCTCCTTCACCTCTTCAGGGTGGCAAGAAGACACCAGGTTTTACGGAGGACCCAAGCGAAGCTCTCCACCCCGCCCCATGCTTCAGCTCCATCTCTCGGGGGCACGCCACTCTGCCCTCCCTGGGACACACAGCCAGAGCAGCAAGGGTGGAGGACAAGCTGGCTGTCTGCCCAGTTTCAGTGTTTCTGGAGGTACGTGTGGATGAGCTGGTGATAACTCCCACTGGTCAACACCTGACAACCCATCCAGTTTCTAATAAAACCCTTACACTTGATTCTGCATTAGCTGTAAATAAGTTACTGACTTGTAAGATGTTCAGGCCCGTGCATGGTAGTTAACCAAATGCTGGAGTTATTGTGACCACTTACCTTTAAAATGGATAAACAACAAGGTCCTACTGGATAGCACAGGGAACTGTACTTCAGTAGCCTATGATAAACCATAATGGAAAAGAATATTAAAGTGAATATATATATAGGTACATATATGTATAACTGAGTCACTTTGCTGTACAGCAGAAAGTAACACAACATTGCAAATCAAATATACTTCAATAAAATAAATTTAAAGGAAAAAGAGATTTCCCCAGTGACACAGTGGCCTCCGAGGCCCCGCCAGCTCTGGCCCTACTTCTCACCAGAGTCCCTTTCACACCTCACTCCCCGCAAAACCCTGTGCTCCATCCACACTGGCCGTTATTCAAGCGTACCTCACTAGCCCTGTTCCCTGCTGCCACAGGATCTTTGCATCTGCTGCTTCCTTGGCCTAGCACGTTCCTCATTCCTCTCTTGGCCAGGTCGACTTATTTTTCAGATCTCAACTCCGAAGGTGCAAGCCTTCCCTGAACTCTCTGACCAAGTCAAATCTGTTTATACGTCCTTCCTGTGCTGTGAAGCCATCTGTCATTGCTGCGGTTTTACATGTGTACAAGTGATCGCTCAGTGCCCATCTCCCTCCCTGACTATGCCGTCAACGCCATGAGGGCAGAGGTTTTTATCCCCGGCACCTAACATATCACCTGGCACATGACGGGCACCCGATAAGTATTATCCCAATGAATGAGTGCAAGTCACTACCAGTCCCCTTTGTGACCCTGAGCGCTTCTCCTTAGAGGTTCTCATAAGCTGCAAACCAGTGCAGATGAGCCCTCAGAAAACGCTGACATAGTAACTAAGGGAAGGAGTGAGGGAAACCGTTTATTTGTTGAGTGCTTACACGTGGATCGTTTATTGCAAAGAAAAAAATGTACCCAGCCAAGGAGTTCACGTTCTAACCCTCACAACAATTGTGTTGTAAGATTAATTATCCTCATTCTGGAGATGTATATTCCTCAAATGTAAATCAGGAAGCTAAATTCAAATTAAGTAACTCGCCCAAGATCAGACAGGTACTAAGTGACTGGATTTGAATCCCAATCAGTCCTCCTGACTTACCACCGCTACAGCGCCTGTAGTTAAATCAAGGAGTCTAAGAGGCAAAAGGTTTTCATATCCTCCACCCCACATTTTTTTTTTAAAAAGCTACTTGGAAGCCAGGGAGAATGCTCTTGAGTTTATAGTATGATTGTGCTCTCTGGCCATTTAAAAACCATAAAGTACCTGCATGCTATAAACCCACCTCACGCTGTGCAGCTGAACGCTGGTTTAATTGTAGTAATTCAGGCCAGGGGAGGGCAGCTCCTGGGTAAGTGATGAAAGAACAGCTTGAGGAGGAAAGAAACATTGTCCCCGTGAAGCATGAAGGGAACATTAGCTTAGTTCATGCCTGATGCCCATTGTTTGGAGTTACGGGGTATTGAAGTGTTCCTGTGACAAAAGTGACCTATTATTACCATGGCCAGGTGTGTGCATAAGTACTAGTTCTCTGACTTTTCCTTCCAAAGCATTTGGAAAATTCTTATCATTTACTTGGAGCTTTTACATTTGTTATATTCTGTCTTTTTGTTTTTAAGTTAAATTAAACTTCATTTAACTCAGTTTTACGTAGAAACCAATCCCCAGGCAGAATATAAGAAACCATTGCCCCTGATGAAGTCGGTGCCTTGTAGTTGATGCCACTTGTTTTCTGATCAAATAAGCTATTGTTTCATCTTAGCTCTGCCTGGTCTCTTATACTCAGAAGTACAGATCGGCATCGGCACATCTTGCTGCAGTGAAAATTACATGGGAACAAGAAAATGCAAGAAGAAAGGAGAGGCCCCACTTGGTCAACAAATAATGATTGAGCCAGGAGGTATTTGGGAGACAAACACACACACACACACACACACACACGCTAAAACAGAGTGCCAAGGAGCCTGGGTCATGGAGTCAGAGGAACTCAGGTTCAAATCCTGGCTCTGCCACTAACTAGCTCTGCCACTGCTCTGAGCTTTCATTTCCTCATCTAGTAAAATGAGCGAGCAACACCTATTTCAGAGGAATTCAATGGAATAACGTTATACTTAACGTTATTGCCTGGGACATAACGCATGCTCGATAAATAGGGACTGACTGTATGTATCTTTTATTATTGTGGAAACAAAACCGGCTTCAGAACTTAAAATAAGCCTTTTTCATTTATTATAGAAACAAGACCAGTTTCAGTATTTAAAATAAGACTTTGTCATTTACCAAAAATGCACCAAAGGAAGGAGAGAAGGTAAAACTTACCAGCCAGTAGCTGAGCACTTATCATACTCCAGTACCTTGATACATCAAAATTCCAGGCTTATTTATACATAAATACAACGTAGGAGGCTCACATTCCAGGAACAGCCTTGTGGAGAAGGGGCCTCATGGCAGACAGGGAAGGTGGACCTTGTGATAATGACCAATGGAGCAGGTGGTCAAGCCTATAGCTGTAAGTTTGCAAACTTCAGAATTGGTATTTAAAAAGGCAATAATAATATTCATCTGAAGGAGGTCAAAATATTTGCTTGGTAAAACATTCAGGGTCTCTGAGGGACCACAGTATTCACCCAAGGAAGTAAACCATTAAGGGTCTCTCTGATGGCCAGAACTTTCTAACTACGACCAGGTAGTGCTGTCTTTGTGTGGTGAGCTGATTTTTCTGTGTTATCTTCTCCTGGTTTTTACCTCTGACAATTTTGAACAAATACACAATGGACCGAGATAGCAGAGGCTGGACTCCTGCTCTGTGATGCCAGGTCACACAGGGCATGGAGGAAGGGCTCTTGTAGGCCAGGCTGGGCTGGTGAGGAAGGTCCCCCTGCTGTCCCGGCCGGATGCTGGAGGAGAGATGGTTGGAGAAAGCAGCCAGGGGTTCTGCCAGGGAGAGTCAGGGGCTTGTCACTGTCCAGGCACAAATCACTTAATTATTGTTACAGACTGAATTGTGTCTCCCTAAAATTCATATGTTGATGTTCTAACCCCCAGTAACTCAGAATGTGACTATATTTGAAGACAGGGTCTTTATAGAGGTAAGTCAAATCAAAATGAGGCCTTTAGGGTGGGACCTGATACAGTATGAGTGGTGTCCTTATAAGAAGAGATTAGGACACAGACACACACAGAGGGAAGACCGTGTGAGGACACAAGGAGACAGCCACGTGCAAGCCAAGCGGAGACACCTTAGAAGGAACCACTCCTGCCAACACCTTGATCCTGGACTTCTATCCTGCAGAACTGTGAGAAAATAAATGTCTGTTGTTTAAGCCATCCAATCTGTGGATGGATGCACCGGAACTCAAAGTCTTAACCACTGGATTGCCAGGGAAGTCCCATAACTAATACCATTTTCAATTTTTATTTTTCAGCTTACAAAATGTTTTATTTATTTAAAAATTTTTTTCCATTTTCAAATTTTTATATAGAGCTTACCAGGTGCCAATCCACCTTCTAAGCACTTTGCAAGTATCACTTTCTAGCTCCTCTTAACAAGCCTTAGAGTACTATGATTACGCCCATTTTAAAGATGGCAAAATGAGGTACAAAGAAGTGGAGTGACTGTCTTGTCACCTGAGTAGGAACAGGCAAAGCTGGAACCCAGGAAGTGTAGTGCCAGAGTACATGCTTTAACCACTTTGCTATACTGCCCTTTAGAGTAAGTGGGAAATATTGATAGTCGATAACCAAGGGTTCAAATGAAAATAGTGGGCAGCTGAACAGGGGTCACAGGATGCAAGTGATGCTGAAGAATCCCAGCAGGTGGTCAGTCATCATGGGGGACAGGAGACATGGGGGCAGGGGACACATATGCCTTCAGATAGCTGGGAGGAAGCCACAGGGCAGATCACAGGGCCAAGCCCCAGTTGTTACGGGCCTGGTTAGTGTAAGATCTGGATTCATGTAATGTCTGGAGAACTAAAATTTGCCAGAAAAGAATTCGGGGTAGAGACCACAGTAGAAGCCTAGTCCTGCAAACTGGGACACACCAGAGGCAAGAGAATTCAGGCCTGGGGACCCCAGGG